ATATATATATATATATATATATATATATATATTTACTTGATTGAATATATTTCAAGCAATCAAGCAAATTTCAATAGAGAACTTGAAAGCAGTTAAGCTCGTAACAACGCCGTATGCAGACGAAAACGAACTTAGATGGAACGCGCAAATGGCAAATTGCCATGAAGGGACATAATCATCTTCAGGGAGAAACTAGAAGCAAGACGGCCATCTCCTCCATCATTTTTGCTCACTTTGTGCTTCGTGATTTATCGTTAGGTTCTATCTTCTTTTAAAATTTCTGCTTTTAATAACATAAACTGTTCGTACTGTCTTAAAAAGTGAATAATACGGCTTAATAAAACTGACTTGACCTACACGGCAGAAGACCAAAGGAGAACAAAATCTGCATAAATCAAATCAAAGTTTATTAATCGGTGTTGTTTGAAAGTTTCCACGATGTATTTAGGTTCCATATCATTATCGGAAGTGTAACTTGAACAGGGTAAATGCCAGGAAACGCTAACGGAATGGCTATATGGTAAGTGATAAAAGTAATTTTCTAGCAAAGTTGCAACCGGATATAACGCACTTTCTTTTTCATTTGGATTAAGGCGCAAGTATCTTGTAGTTACTGTCTATTTTCAGCTGCTAGTGAATATGCATATGGTTGATCGACTTTACTAATATTATGGTAATTTTTTACAAAATGGCAGAAATTTACCCAATGGGAGAATAATTCTCATCCTTTATTAGGGAGTTTGATTCCGACGATTCGAAATATTAGTGACAGAAACCTTAATTTAATGTTAAAAACAGCGATAATTAAGCCGAAATAGTATTTTTTTAACGTTTTGCGATTTCATTTAGAGATTTGTGAGAAAGGATTTGAAAGAAAACTTATTTTGACAAAATAATGAGTTTTCAATTGTGAATAAATTCCTGATTTTTTTCAGAAGCGCATTAGTTAGTGTACTATTCCATAGGGTTGCTGAACATTATTGCCACATATATTCCTTTTTTCCTTACTTTTATAAGCGAGTCCATTAAAATGACTATGAAGTTTTTTTCGCTAGAGAAAACATAGATTTAATTGAAATTCTAATCTCTTCGCAAATGCCAACCTGCAATGCATGGTAGTCTGATAATTAATATAGAATTGTTGATATTCCTTCTCTAACCTTGGCAAAAGTATACAAACAATTAAATTGGAAGAAACGACTTTTCTCAAGTAGGGTGTGCGGTAGACTTACCTCCACGTGGTGCACCCTGGGCAACGTATACTCATACGGCAAAAAAGTCTATTATTCGGCAGTTGACTTCTGACTTCAAACTGCCCTCACCCCATTTGTATGTCATATTCGACCACTTCCACAGTACTCGCCTCACCTTGTTCTGCTTTCGTGTCTCTCTCTTTTACATCTTTGAAATTCTCTTCTGTTTTCCCTCTCCCTCTAAACTTGTTTCACTTTGATGTTCCTTCTCTGTGAAGCCTGAAGTCAACTAAAGGGCTGATTATAACTTTCCCAACGCCTGCCATTTGAAATAAATAAATAAATACTTTTCTCAAGTTATCAGCAATAGGAAAATGGAAAGTATTTCACTTCCAATGTACTTGTAACTAATATTAAATGGCAGGCTTTATGATAGTTATCGTTAACCCCTTAGTTGATTTCAAGCTTTAGGGAGGGGTGGAGCATCAAAGTTACAAAAATTGGGGAGGGGAACAGAAGAGTGATCACAGATGTAATAGAGGCAGGCAAAAAAGTAATAAAAAACCAAAGATGAGTACTGTGGAAGTTGATGAATATGGCGTACAGTCGGTCCATAGTAGCTGGAAGTCAGAAGTCAACTGCCAATTTGCATACTTTTTTGCGTTTAGCATACGTTGCTCAGTGTGCACTAAGTGGAGATAAGTCTATCGTACATCACAGCCCTTCTAATGTAATGACGTCATAACTTATAAAATTTCCATAAAAATGATACTGGGGATTTTCGAACACTTCAAATCATATACTTTTCGCCAAAACCAGAGAAATCTAATTCAAAATTTCGCTTAAAATTATGTAACCTTGATTTGTATCTTGATTAAATTTGACACATATTTATGGAAAGCATATGAATATTTCGCAATTTAGTTCAGAAGTGATAATTAAATGATTAATGCAAATCATAAACATTTTCAGGTCAAGTAGAATATTTTTGAAGAACTTAAGGTCAACAGTTTACGATCCCACCCACTACTTTAGTTTAAATACTGATAAGGCGTCGACAACATAGTGATAAACATGGTATTAAAATTTCCTTCGACCTAAGTCTAAATTATTCAAAATTAGATTTAGCTTATTAAAATATATAAACAAATAATTTGAAATAATGAGTCATCAACAAACATATTTATCTTGAAAACAGCAATTATTTGTTGTTTAAGGTTGGTGATACATTGACAAACTTGATATTTTTCAAATACCTCCACGTGGTGCACCCTGGGGTACGTATATTCATACGGCAAAAAAGTGAATTAACTGGCAGTCGACTTCTGACTTCAAACTACCATGATCCCACTGTATGTCTTATTCGATCACTTCCACCATATTTATCCTACCTTTTCTCTGCCTTTTTGTCTGTCTCTTTTACATCTTTGAAAACTCTTCTGTTCCCCCCTCCCTCGACTTTTTTCCATTTGATATTTCTTCCTCTCTGTGAAGCCTGAAGTCAACTATAGGGCTAATGATAACCATCAAGACGCCTGCCATTTGATATAAATAAATATCTGATAGCATAAGGGAAAGCCAAATTTTGATGACCATAACGTGTGATATCTCAAAGAAATAGCTTGAAACCAATTAGGCTTTTCCACACTTTAAGAAAGCAGAAAGACACCAGAATGTAAAATGAAAAAGTTTATTTATTTGAAAATTAAACTGAAGTGTATCATTGCTTTCATGGCGAATTTCGTTAAGTGAGCGGTTGAAGATTAGCATGCGCGGGGCTAGTAAGGTCGGTATCTAGAGGGATCGGCCCTAAGTTGAAAAAATTAGTGTTCTCATTTTTTTAGCAACATAGAAGTTAATAGAGTCGATTGATTTAACTTACGCTGGAGCGTAATGACACACGAGGTAGAATTGTAGAGCCTTGTCATATGTGCACTTATGCCAACCACATCCTACGTCAGTTGTGTTTGCCCAGACCAACTAGGAAGAGTGAGGAAGAGGGAAAGAAAATGAGAATTCGCATTCTATGTGTCAGTTCAAAACAGGAATGAACTAGATTTTCCTACCTGAGCGTAATGACCGCAAATAAAGTCTCGACAAATGTTCGAGGAATAGTCATAGTTGACATGTTCATTGAACCAATTCGTCACACACCTAGAATAGGGAGAAAAAGCGCAACATGATGAAACACAAAAGACAAGGTTTGCAATTGGCATAAGACGATTATTGATTTACTGCTCAAGTGAAGTAGAAACTCCAATACTTTGACCAACCGAATGGAATTTCTCCGTTTCCCTTTCCTCATTGGGGTTATGATAGAGGTGGCATGTGCTTGCGTACTCCTGAGCCATTCTGGCCAACTCATCGTCCCATGCCTGAAAGAAAGCGTACAATAAGGAAATTGAATCGGATTATCACAAATTGATTGAACTGACAAGGTCATAAATTTTGTTGCTTGGAGGTTGGTTTTCGACTTCGCCTCGGGCAACTTTACGACGATAGAAATTGATCAGATTAAATACTGTTTTCATCTCAGGAGTGTGAGGACCCTTACTGCCAGCAGATTCTCTATCACCGCCACCCTCATGTCCAGAACGATAGTCTAGCCCAGATTCGTCATGATGACTGACGCTGTTAGTTGTACTCTCAACATCCCCACCACTTGCACCTTCATCATGCCTACAACAACAGCACTTGCTGCGTTGTGCTGCTGAAGTAGTCAGGAGGATACCGATCGCTAGAGCACCAGCGAGAGCACAAAGCTTCATTCCTCTACTCGCTTTGAATTCTTTGCTCTAAACGCATACAGGCGCCTTTTTATAGAGAGGTAGAAGGCTGCACTTTAGGCGATTTTGCTAGTTTGAACTCAATGCTTTTCCAGTTTCAGTTCATTATTTAGTACTTCTTAACACTGACTATCCGTGAAGATTTAGACCTTTATTACTATAACACGCACTTAGTTTAGAGTGGTCTCATGTGTGTAAAATTAATTTTTCGTTTAAATGGGGTCTTTGTATATGATAATGAGAAACGCCTAGAGATACATGCCCAACATTTGCGTCCTGAAACATTCCAAATGCTCCTTTTGCCAGCACTTAGTTCTTCTAAATGCTTGTAAATCATGATTTATTAAGTGGTCTTGTGGTAGCAGCATACATATTCGCGGGTAGTGACTCACTGCAAGTTATGATAACATTTTGTCTAATCTTCAATTGAACAGTGAGTGGAATTAACATTAGTGAAGTGAGACTATTCTGGATTGATGTAATCCAACCCAGTGCAATTTCTGCCACAGATACCCATTTGTTTGGAGAATACGACTGTCGTTCGCAAATGATTGGCGGAACGATATTTGGTGGACCATGAGTGAATTGAAGAGCAGTGTGTGGTGTTGGGGGTGGGAGTTGGGGGGG